GAATATATCAAAGCCGAGTTAGGCAGATTTTTGATTGATGATGGAGTCAAGATTTATGAGGGTGGCACAGACAGGAAAATGGATTATTACGACAATCAAATCAGCTGTGATGCTTAATGATGAAGCAGGGGCATTAGGCTGAATGCTTATATTTGTTATTCTATTAAAAATGAAGGAGAGGGCCCCAGTTAATAGTTAACTCTCACCCAACACCTTTAAAACAGATTACCTGGTCATTGCATATAGAATTTGGTGGGATTTTGCTATGCAAACATTGGTTGCTGCATTTCCTACACTTAAAAAAAAAGATGCTGTGTGATTGGCTGTTGAATGCTTTGGGAGGTCCTGTGACGGAGGAAGATGGTACATAAATGTAATTTCATTCTTCCGTTCAGAATTGCAAGTTTTCCCATTGTGAATAGCAGAACTAGAGAGATAGTTGTTAGTGTTAAACAGCCCTTGCAGGAAGGGATATGCATTCCTGAACAGATTTCCCTTGGGCTGTTCTCTGATCAGAATATGTGAAAACCAAGAACTCAATATTTTAGAAAAATTCTTTTCCTGGAATATTAATATTATTGACAAATCCACTTATATTATAGCCCGTCCCTTAATTGTCCTTGAGAGGGTTGTGATGAACTGCCTTGTTGAACCATGGTAGACCCTATGGTGTCGGTGCCCTATAATGCTGTTAACGAGGGAATTGCAGGACATTTACTCAGTGAAGATGAAATAATGACAACTGAACTCGGATTAGACAACCATAGTTTCCACTTAATTATTAATAGGGTCAGAATATTTGCCTCTGTATTCATCCAGCTCACATACACCAAAGACAATAGGCTGGGTTTTTATTTTCCTTAGAGCAGAGGAGGCTGAGGGGAGATCAGATTGAGATACACACAATTATGAGGGACATAGACAGATTGTGAGAATCTTTTCCCCATGGCAGACATGTCTAAGATCAAAGGGCATAGGTTTAAGGTGAGGAGCAAATAGCTTAAAGGAGATCTAAGAGAAAAAAAATCACCCATGAATATGGAATAAAAATTGAAAGAACTGCAGATGCTGTAAATCAGGAACAAAAACAAAATTGCTGGAAAAGCTCAGCAGGTCTGGCAGCAGTTGTGAAGAAAAAAAAATAGTTAATGTTTCAGGTGCAGTTAACTTTTTTGTTTCCCTTCACAGATGCTGCTAGACCTGCTGAGCTTTTCCAGCAACTTCTGTTTTTGTCACCCATGAATATGGAACGTGCTGCCTGAGAGGTTGGTGGAAACAGGTACTCTCTAACATTTAAAAAGCATCTGGATGACCACTTACGATGCTAGGGTTTAGCAGGGTTTGGGATAGTATGGGATTAGTAAATGGGATTAGTATAATTTGGCCAGTAATAGACATGGTGGGCTGAAGATCCTGTTTCTATGCTGTATGACTCCGTGACAGCATAAAATATTGACTCCCAATAAGTCACTCTAATGAAGTGTTTTTATGTTTGCTTTTCTTGCCTGTGCGCGTGTTACAGAAGCTAAATCGTTCTCCAGACATGTAGAGAAGGAATTACAGACAGGAATTCAATTGCAGGGTTTGACAGATCACATCTGGATTCTTTTTCTGGTCAAGGCCGGGAATCTATTTGGGAATATTAGGTGTTTGACGGATGAAGAATGGTCAGAGATGAATGACCAAAAAGGGGGTTGAAACTGGTGTAAGATTGACCCCGTTATTTCGGGACATCACAGGGTCAATGACATTGGCTCGTAATCAGCTGCCTTCCCTGCCCCGTCTCCCTCCTGGACTTGGGCCATGTGGATACTAATCTTGTCCTTGTACTACCAATAAATTCAACAACCTATTCATCAAGGATAATCCGCGCCATGGACGATAAATATGACTTTGGAATTAAATATGAAGCGAGCTATAATCCTCAACAGAAGAAGGGTCACAGGAGCCCAAACGTTAACTCTGTTTCTCTCTCCACAGACGCTGACAGACGTGCTGAGTTTCTCCAGCAATTTCCATTGTTGTTTCAATATTACATCAGGCTGAATGGCACTGTTTTGTTCTGAAGAAGGGTCCAGACCCGGAACGTCAGCCTTCCTGCTCCTCTGATGCTGCTTGGCCTGCTGTGTTCATCCAGCTCTACACCTTGTTATCTCAGATTCTCCAGCATCGGCAGTTCCTATATCCCTTACTGTTTTGTTCATGGTCTCTTTGCCTGAATGGGCTGGTGTAGAAATATATCCTATTTCTTCCCAGTAAAAAGTAGGGAGGCGGCTGTTTCTGTCAAAATCACAGACCGGGCGCAGAGGGGAACACGGAAGGATAAATAAATGATGTGTTCTGCCTTTCAAATCTCATAGACAACAAACATCTCTGACCTACACACAGACACGTCCAATAATTCAACTTGATTATATGCAAATAAAATCTGTCCAGCCCATAACAAATCGATAACGTTAATTATTAACGACTGTCATGAATATTCGCCAAACTGTACGATATTCTTACGAGACCACTGACAATTTAATTAAAGTCTTGCAGAATTGAGAGAATTATTTGATTCCCATCCAGCATTGATACCGAATATTATTTATCTATCTCAGCCCAGGTACATTTCACATGGAAGTTAGGAAACCAAAAGTTGCTCCGATAGAAGGAATATTTCAGGGTCGCCCTGGCGCCAACTTATCGTACGAATTTCCGCAAAGCGGAATTCCGAGGCTCCTGACAATGAACAAACCCAGCTTTTAGGATGGGCCGCTATTCAGGGAATCGCCCTTAGCCCAGAAGGAGAGTGGATAATTTGCAAGCTTAGCGCCGTTCGCTAAATTTCTACTTTCCAAATTTCGTTATACCTGGGCTCACAGATCTGGGAGTTTCCCCAGTTTTCCCCAGATCTGTGAACCCAGGTATAACGAAATTTGGAAAGTAGAAATTTAGCGAACGGTGCTAAGCTTGCAAATTGATAAAAACCGCTTCTGTTTTGCGGTTTCCGTTGCAATGGAAGGGATTCTCCGCTTGAGAATGGCAAAAGGAACGGGAAAATTCAGCATTTTATGTCTGTGAAGCTCCTAAATAATTTAAACAACCCGGCTGGCGCCTGTTAAACACTCAGCGGCCAATCCCCCCACAGATTTCTTCTCAGATCAATTTAAATCCGATTGGAATTTAAAATCCACTTCTTCATTAGGGAATGGGGTGCTTTTAAAGTTTATAGTGCCTTTCCCCAAACGTTTTAATGCAACAAAGAGGCGCTAGATGTGGGATCAGACAGTTCTCAAATGCCAGCACTCCCCCAACGCGCTGCAGTATTAATAAATGATCATTTATACATGAACGAGGGCTGTTCATCTGCTGCTGGGATTTGAGAGAGGGAAACGATATACACAGACACTCAGAAAATCGTAGGGTCAATACATATTTAATCAGAGTTCGCTCGCTGCTTTGGTCGGGAGCTATTTCAAATCTGTTTCCCCTTTCTAAAATTACAACCCCGTGTCAAACTCACAAAACGGATTAGATCCATAATGTGTTTTTAAGGCTATCAGAGTAATCACTCTCTGACAATCATAAGCATATTACATGCTGCTGGACGTATAGGTGCAGATTAACCTGCAAATTTGTACAAATTCTGCTGAAAAAAATCAATTTTTTTTGTATGTGTGTGTGTGATTGTACATAGCTGAAATGCACAAGAGGGTACGGGAAGGGAACAGTTTGCGCCTCATTGTTATCAGCCGGAAATCATGCACTCAACAAGAATTTCAGTAGTGTCAGCAAGAGAGGAATAAAAAAAAAGGGGGGGACTCCCTTCGAGTAACTCCATTCTTAATCAGAGTAGAAGTGTCAGAAGGCAGTTAATAGTCGATGAAAGGGATTGAAACAATATCTGATCATTCAAACAAAATCCGACCGTTAAATTCCAACACTGCAAAACGAACCAGAAACTCGCGTTCATTTAACAATGAAGGAAGGCAAATATTTGGAAGGAAACATGTTGCGGTTTAATGGCTCCCACCTTCGCTCGGTGTCTCTGATTCAGAGATAATCGAGGTCCAGTGTGTAAAGACAGCACAGAGCCAATAAAACCTTTGTTAAGTTGTTTGTGAAATGATTGCAAATTGACATGGATTAAATCCGAATTTTTGGGGCCCGGCGCCTGTGCAGTCTCCCCTACGTTGTATTCTCCTTCACTCTGGTGTAAAGTACACTGCGGGTAAATTCTTCCTGTCCAGTCATGGCAAGGCCCTGTTTGACTTTGTGAAGGAGCGGGCGTGCCCTTGCTGATTGGTCAAGGAGACATCTTTCGTGTTTTTTTAACAAAAAATGTTGGAAGGTGCGTTTGATTTTGGAAATCGTGTTTAGTAATTTGGTAAGGTACAGGTTGGAAAGGTGACAAAATGTCCAGTATACTGGTGGATGAGCCCATAGTGACACACAGATGAATTGCAAAAGTATTAACCTACAAGCCGCTTGTTCGAAAAGCAATGCAGGAATTAGTGCAGTAGGAAATGAAACCGATATATTTGCATTTAACTTCGGATGTGGGAAGTTTCAAGCTTCATTTATTTCTGGTTTCCAATTCTAATCTCCATCATAACAAACGCGCCGTGTAACGAATATTTTAAAACAAAATCTAATCGAACGAATGTTTAGAATTGGATCGTTTTATATTTTTAAAGAGTGTTCACAGAAAAACGTTGATAGGGAAAGCCCGGGTCCGTGCATAATGTTTCTAAGAGGATTTCTGTCGCTTACAGAAATATGGAAAGGAGGAAAAAAAAGACAGGGGTTACAAAGATAATACTCGAGAAATTTAATTAGAAGAAAATTTTAACACCTCCTTAGAAACCGCGGAAAAAAAATCCCAACAGCCTTGAACCAAAAAGAAGCGACAGGACCGGCGTGTACAACGAACAATCATTTTTGATTAATAATTATATCCAACGCTGCATGAATTATTTACAAAGATTTTTGTGAGGGAGTAGAAACAAACTCACCTGTGTAAGTGCCCCAAGGTGTCCCCTGCTAATTTCTTCAATTGCTCTTTCCTTATCTCCATAACTCTGACCAATAACGTTAACCGGCGATGTTATTCTAAGCGGAGCACCTTAAAACAATTCCAATTCCAATCATCACGGAGCTAAAGGCCGACTGCTATAGTACAATACTCCAAGAAGTTTACAAACAGAGACCTTTTTTTTGCCAGTGTCCTTGGCGTTATCTATTGATTTATGGCAGCGGAGAAATAGCGCGCCCCGTGGACCAGATTGCAAAAGAGATACATGTTTCTCTTCCTGCAGACTACATGTGATCAAGCCACATTTGCTTGATCCATAATATCACGGATCAGCCGGTGATGGGGGAGGCTGTACAAACCTTGCACCCCCAAGTGTATGGAATGTTTCATTAGAATTGGGGAGCGTCTTTCGATTGAAAAGTGGTCCAGGTGAAGTTGCTGAGCAGGTCCGTGTGAGTAATTCAGCACCGGGACTGTTGGACAGCTCCCAGCGCGTATTTCAGCACCACGGCTAGCTCACGCCCATGCCTCGCCCTCTCCCACCTTCTGAAACTTTTCAGACAGCAGGGAAGCACGTAATTCCAGGGCCTGGGCTTAGCTTGAAACTTCATGGAGTTTGCCAACCGTTTGCCGTCTTCTGCCATCGCTCATTGCTATAGTGGGCGAACGCAGTTTGTCATTGGATGCCCGCTCTGACAATCACCGCTATCTGGCTGGATTGGTTTCCTAAAGTGGATGCTATGGTAACCAACTGAGATTTGATCATCTTAACTGCTGGGAACATATGGTCACACAATACAGGCTGACGGTGTGAAGCAATGCACCTAACTATCTGTGTATCTAGACAAAAAAGAGCATTTCTGCTCCTGGTAATGTGGGGCATTAAATACGAGACCATCGCTGATAAATCAAATTAAGAATTCAGGAGAAACCTCTTTAGCCTAGAGAGTGGTAAAATGTGGAATTCGCTACCACAGGGATGTGGTTATGATGAATTGCCTAGAGCTATTTAACCAGAAGCTAAATAAATATGAGAGAATAATGAAGGAATAAAAGAATATATTGATAATGTGAAATGAGCTCAAATGAAATGTGCAGAGCGTAAATATTGGCATTGATTAATTGGATTGAATGGTCTCCTGCTCACTATTTTGCACAGTTCTCTCCAGATTTTGAACACCTCAATCAAATTTCTTCTGAGTCCTCATTTCTCCAATGTAAACAGGCCTAACTTCTCCAATCAATCTTCATAACTGAAAGTCCTCTTCTCTAGAACCATTCATGTGAATCTATTCTGCAATATCTCCAATTTTTAACATTTTTATAAACCTATCCATGATGAAAGATTATGAACCTGAAGTACCAACTCTGTTTATCTCTCTATCAATGCTGCTCAACACCAGAGAATTTCCAACATTTCAAATTTGTATGTAAGAGACTTTATTTGGCAAAGGAATGAGAAACAGATCCTAGATGCTCTGGTCAATATTTATCCTACAATAAAAAAAATCATAAAACTAGATGATTGAGTTTTTATCATATTGATGTGGGAACTTGATGTGTGCAAATTGGTTGCTATGTTTCCTACATTACAACATTGACCACACTTCAGAAAAACTTTATTGACTGTAAAGCACTTTGGGATGTCCAGTTGTCATGACAAGACTGTATACTGTAAATCCAAGTACGTCATTCTCCTTTTTATAAGAGAATCAGATATCATCAATTTGTACTTTGAAGTGAGTTCATTGTTGATAAATGTTTGTCTTGTTTGCAATGAGTATTTAGTGCACAATAACTCCCAGGCAAACTATGCCAGAGATTCTGATTTTTCACATGAGATTTCCAAGTTATGATTGAATTTGCTTCTACATACCCTTAAAGATTGCACACCATAGCATGCTGTATTAGAAATAATCTCCTTACCTCCCTTCTGGTTCTTTTGCCAATTTTCTTCAATGAATTTAAACTCTGCCAGCTGCCACAGTAGGATTTGTATCCACTTTCCCAGACCATTACACCTGAACTATCAGCCCACATTACATTGCAACAATTTCTGTCAAATTTGGGATGGGGGCTTGGCCTATGAGGAAAGAATAGGCTCAGCTTACATTCCCCTGAATTTCGAAGAATAAGAGGGTCTTATTGAAAGATACAAAAAATTCTTAAATGGACCAGCCAAGGCATATGTTGGGAAGATATTTCATTGACTGTAGAGATCTAGAAGACACACAAACAAGCAACAAGAATAGGCCATGCAACAACTGGGGTCTTCTCCACCATTTAATAAGATTATGGCTGATCTGATTATAACGTCAAATTTGCATTCTCATCTATCCCTGATAACCTTTTACCCCTCTGGCTTACAAAATATCTATCCACCTCTGTCGTAAAAATATTCAAAGACCTTGCTTCCGCCATCTTTTCAGCTCCAGCCCTCTGAAAGGAAACAACCTAATTGCTGTTTTAAATGGACATACCCTGACTTTTACACAGTGACCCCTAATTTTGATTCTCCCCTAAGGGAAAATATCCTTTCCACATCTACTGTATCAAGAACCTTCAGGACTTTATGTATTTCAATCAATTTATAGTATTGCTGATCCTAACTTGTTGAATTTTAGCAAGAAGGATAAAAAGACCATATTAGTATGAAGTCACACAACACCAGGTTATAGTCCAACAGGTTTATTTAAAATCATAAGCTTTTGAAGCACTGCTCCTTCATCAGGTGAAGTGGAGCCTATATATTCTGATCCAGTGTGCCTCCCTCCACTCCACCTGATGAAGGATCAACACTCCAAAGTTTGTGATTTTAAATAAACCTGTTGGACTATAACCTGGTGTCATGTGACTTCTGACTTTGTTCACCCCAGTCCAATACTGGCATCTCCACATCAATTCAATTACCTGTTAGTCTTCTAAGCTCCAGTAGATATATGTCTAGATTTTCTTCATAAAATAAACCACCTATTCCAGATTTTAGAATGGTAAATAAAATAAAGAAATGAGGATGCTAGAAATCTGAAACAAACACAAAAAAAACTCAGCACGTCTGGTAGCATCTCTAGACAGAAAGCAGAGTTAACGTTTTGAGACCAGTTATCCTTCTTCAGAATAGTGTTCTGAATTTGTTGGTAAACATTGTCTGAACTGCTTCAAATGCATTTGCATCCTTCCTTAAATATGGTGACTAATATTCTACATAGTATTCCAGATTTGGTCTCACCAGTACCCTGTCTAAGTGAAGTATTACCTCTGTATTGAAGTTCCCTCACAATAGATGATAGTATTCTATCAGCTTGCCTGATTAATCCTGTGCTTTATGCGGTTCATGAATTAGGTCACCCAGATCCCTCTGCATGTTAGAGCTCAGTAACTTCTGCCCATGCTCATATGATGTGGAGATGCCAGTGTTGGACTAGGGTGGACAAAGTCAGAAGTCACATGACACCAGGTTATAGTCCAACTGGTTTATTTAAAATCTCAAACTTTTGGAGTGTTGATCCTTCATCAGGTGGAGTGGAGGGAGGCACACTGGATCAGAATATATAGGCTCCACTTCACCTGATGAAGGAGCAGTGCTTCAAAAGCTTATGATTTTAAATAAACCTGTTGGACAATAACCTGGTGTTGTGTGACTTCATGTTAATATGGTCTTTTTATTCTTCTTGCTAAAATTCAACAATTTAGGATCAACAATAATATAAATTACATATTTTTTTCATTAATCTGTTAATAATAAAATAACTTCTTTACTCGGAGTGTTATGGATCTTTGAAATTGTTTACCTGGCAGGGCTAAGCATGCTCAGACAATGAATACATTCAAAACAGTGATTGATATATTTTTGGATGAGGAGACTTAGCGATATAGGGATATTGTAAACTGTTGGATGCAGAGTAGAACATCATTCATAACCACATTGAATAGGGCAACAAACTCTTATGACTGAATGGTCTTCACATCCTGCATTTTTATATTTTTACAAGGGAACTCTGTGCATGTGTGTGTGTGTGTGTGTGTGTGTGTGTGTGTGTGTTTGTGTGTGTGTGTGTGTCTTTCAGACATTTTAATATCTAGTCTCCTGGATATCTGGGAAGTTAAAATAATGAAGAAACTTAATACGTTTCTGAATGAGGTTGTGACCAGGGGTTACCACAACATCCTTATTATTGGCGACTTTCAGATTTAAATATGTTCCTAGCTACACAAACCATGGGACTGCAAATGCACAATTTATTAATCAAATAGGCACGGACCATTCGGTGTTTATGTATATTTATTGCTTTGTGGGATAGATAGATAGATAGATGGATAAATTTAGATAGAGATAATGAGAAGTATCAATGCATGAATATTTATAAGAAAAAACTAAGATTCTGAGAGATCAATTGATTTGTCGGTTTCTTTTGCATTATTCAGTGATGTCTCCTTTGGGTTATTTATCCATGAGTGGGAATGATTGCCCATTGGCTAGGCAGTCTTACCTCAGTGTGTGCTCCAAATACTTTAATAATAGATGGAAGAATAAATGGATGATGTAAAGTGCTTCCAATATTAAAAATACATTTCAGCAGGATCCATCCCATGATGCTGTGAGCTCTTACTATATTTGGTCAGAGTGCTCTGTAAGCTACATCACACCAAACACAGCTTGCAAACCACAAAGGATGTGCTTCAAAAGGAATAGAACATTTCTGGAGCATTGAACAACACAGCGATACAATGCAAAGGAAAGGCAAGGTGACAGCTGCAGGGAAGGTGCACAGACAGACAGCTGCTTACTAACAGGATGGGGTTCCTATCTAGGTCTGGCTGCACTCTTTGCCTCATGGTCCCAGTGCAACACAGGAGTAGCAAAAAAAAACAGGAGTTGCTGGAAAATCTCAGCAGGTTTGGCAGCATTTGTGAAGAGAAATCAGAGTTAATGTTTTGGATCTGGCAACCCTTCCTCAGAACTGTTCTGTCACCGGACCCGAAACGTTAACTCTGATTTCTCTTCACAGATGCTACCACGCCTGCTGAGATTTTCCAGCAAC